CGCGTCGACCGGATATAAGTAAAGACATTGCTAAAGTAGCTGCTTTAGGCTGACGTTCAGAACTTTTGCATCTAACTGACTAATGTAAGCACCGAAAACTGCAGAAATTATAAAAATCGATCACCGATACACGTCACAGAAGCAGATATCCTTCCTCTGTTATCCAGCATGTTTTTGGCTCGGGACAAACGTAAATCGACACTCCTCTTTCTTGAGTTTTTCCGGGTGAACGACAGTTTGTCTCGCCTCTGCAAGGGTCCACATTGTTCCCGAAAGATTGTCCTGAACCTCCATGTTGAACAGTAGAGACGAAAGTAAATCCTCCTGGAGAACTGTACAGTTAATGGGTAACCACTCAGAGCGTTCTTCTTCAACTTGGAGAGTACTGATGGCTCCAGCATACATCTCTTCCAAAACAAAAACAGGTATCCCATAGAATTTCAAGACCTTTCAAATCGTCGGTCGAAGCAATGAGTCATAGGCAGCCTTAGAACCAAAGAAACTGGCACGCCAAGGCAACTGGAATCGTCAACATTGCTCAATGGTTCTGGGCAAGGGAAAAGTTTGTTGTGACATGAGTACCACTTCCAGAAGCTTGCTTAATTTGGATGAAGTGTCCCATCAACTGCCTGCCTCAGCATTTCCAGAATAATTTAGGAGAACAGTTTCCCTGAAATTTGAGGTATCATGACACCGCGATAGTTTGTCACTCGATTCACTTGAAATACGGGGACTATTGCTCCATACTTCGATTTTCCTGACTAACGTTGGAAGGTCTACATCTTATGAAACAGAACAGGAGCTTAACAACTAATAAATAATTCTTCAGGTTTCTGATTCTGGGCTCACAAACATATGCATGATTGTTTGAATGATTCATGATTTGGGTCACCAAATGCAGCAGATGGTAAGCAGTTTAACTGTTACAGTTTGGGGTAGTCTTATCGGTAATGGTAGAATGGCAGTTTGTCCATTCTGTTCCATTCCGTTTTTCGTCGAGGAAATAACGGCTTCTTTGAAATCTTAATAAGCTTAATCGACATTGTCATTTTCTGACTATGCATTATAGGTGGCATTAAAACAATCTGAGTACCTCCACGTCACTTGGTCATATTTTGGCCTCTCAGCATCGGGCAACTGACTTGTTCCAACTGACGGCTTCGATGCGATACGACTACTTCTAGACGATGTTCCGCTACAACCATGTTGTGATCAGATTCAGCACAGGTGCTACACCTGACGGGGATCTCAAGTAACGAGATACGCCGTTTACGGTTGACGAGGACGTTGTTCAGCTGGGGGTTTAGACTTCCATCAGGAGTCGTCCAAGTGGTTTTGTGAAAACGCTTATGAAGAAAAAGTGTCAGACTGATCATTAGACCATTTGAGGCGCGAAAGCTTAGGTGACGCCTGTTGCTGTTATTCAGTACAGGGAGCATGGAGTATTTCCGGAAAACGTGCTGTACTCGGTGCTCATATCCGCTTTGAGGTCGCCTGTTACAGTAGTGACGTCGTGAAACGATAAGAAGCTAACAGCCGACTGCAAGGAGTCATCGAAAGTGCCTTTGTTGCTGTCACTCGACACATTGGTCGGGGCATAGGCGACAGTGACATACAGCATCGTCTGTTTGACATTCACGCGACTGTCCAGGAATCTCTTTGACATCCGTTCTACCAAAATGGATCTTCAGCCCGGATTACCCCAGGGAACAAGAGGATACCGCCACTGGCAGGGCATGGTTTACTGTAGAGTAAAGTTCAAATTGACCACCCATCCTGCACATCAACATTCCCCTTCCCAGGAGAGGAGCTTCCGTGACCGTCAGTATATCGAGTCTGTACCGACAAGCCATACGGTAGACATCACCTGACCTACCTTCGCACGACAAGCAGAGAAAGTTTCAACAAGCGACTCAGAACTTACCTGTCATTGTCCAAATTGATTGTTGGAATCTTGGACATTTTGGTTACTAGTTGACTGGCTGTTCGTTGATCGAGATTCGGATTGATCGGGAGCCACTCGCTGCTCAATTAGTATCCTCCAGAACAATCAGTTTGCCCTGTACGCTAAGAAATCAACCTCATAACTCAGGCACCAGTGTCCCCGAGATAAAGAAACTTGTGCACAAAACGGGATGATCGATAAGATAATCGTATCTCTTACTTTCGGCACTATGTAATGAGTATTGGCATTATGTTAATGGCAGAAGGGGGGCAGCGCTATCAATCGATCATCACCTCATTATTGGCACACTCTGCTGCAAACAATGGAAAAGCTGCACGAGGAGCTTAACGAAGAAGCAACCTCAGAATCAAGGGAGAAACAAAGGTTCTGTTTCTACCAGGACGAAGTGTGTAAATA